ATACTCGACCTTGTATATGTGATAGATTCAACCAGACTCCCATGTGGGCAATTGCTATCAATTTAACATCCAATATGCGCTTTGTCGGGTTGTAAACAGGATAAAAACAGGCCGTTTAGCGACCATTTATTTCACTATTAAGCAAACAAAACCAGAATACTGCTTTATAACTTGCAAATCACTAAGTAATTGACCCAGGAACATCACTCAAAAGACTTCACCGACAACAAGATGAGAAAATGTTTTGATAATGCGCTGAAATTGAGTATCATAAGTTTTTTCTTTTTTTTTTGTTTTACTTGCGTTCATACCTACTTTGACATAATGCTTTGTCATAAAAAAGTGTTTAGACTTTAGTTTTTTTAATAAGTAAGAATAAATACTTTTTGACGATAAAAACAACTGACTTACAAGTCGATGAAAGACAAGCCTGAGAAAACATTGGATCTAAGTGTAATTTTTCTAGCAGTTCTTATCCTTTTTATTTATGCTTTCAAACAATCACAGAAATCCCCTTCAAAGCACTTAATTTAAATGTGTAAATGAACTGAAGTGACTTTTTAATCCTTAAAAAAGACATATTTATTATAGAATTAAAAATAAAAATGAATGTTTCAATTGCAGAATCAAGTAGGGTTGAATCAGTGCTATCTTCAGCTAAGAGGGGTATCACTGCAAGAAAAGTGACTGCCGAGTTCAAGTCCATATAATATATTTTCAACAGAATAATRGCGAAAACCCATTACAGTGGGACGGATAATCTTCAATGTTGGMCCTAAACGTGCTATTTATTTCTTAACCAATAAAGCAATATCGAAAACATAACAAGTAAAATCACATGAATATTGCAAAAGCTTCATTTTTCATCTTTTGCGCTTGTTACTCGTAAGCCGTTGGCATATCCGTCGTGAAGGTCTTTAATAATGCTTTTGGCGTCAGGACATTGCCGGATAAAGTCATGAATACAACAGTTAGCTTTCCTTRAAAGTTATCATCGAGTTTCCTGACCACGGACGCTTTTTAAACGATAGTTTAAAAACTATCGTAGACCGAAAACGCTTCCTAGCACAGCTCTTTAATCCTTTATAATACTAACCATTTTAAAGCTAAGCTAACAGAAAGATTTAAAACTAATACGACGTTCAAACTCACCWATTCGCAGCTAATGAAATCCCTTCCAAAAATCTTTGAAAGCGCGCGGTGGATATTTCTTTAATCTGATGTACAAAAGATACAAATACAGTTTAGATTCTGCGGCTCGGTTAAGTAGAATGCTATTTATTAGATAATTGTTCGGCTTCTGGCTATACAGCTATATAACCAGGAAGTATGCMGCAAGCAATTAGTAAACTTTACTCTTTGAAGACAAACATACTCTAAAGTGACTAAAATAGCATTCTTTGTACATAAATATGGATTATTCCATAGATGATCGTCAAGCAGAGCTTAAACYTAGAAAGGTTTCCAGTACAAATTCATAAATTTGTCATCTTTTTGTAAAACATTTGGCTTTTTGGCTAAACGCTTCAGGATAGA